GTCTAAATTAATCAATATATATATGTATGTATATATATATATATATATATATATATATATATATATATATATATATATATATATATATATATATATATATATATATATATATATATATATATATATATATATATTAGACGTCTAAATTCAGTCACCTTTAGACATCTAACTTCATTTTTTTTAATCACCTTAAGACTCCTAAATTCAGACACCTAAATCACCTAAAGACATCTAAATTCAGATAACTATAAGGCATCTAATTTTATTTATCTTTGAGATGACAAATAACAGCTGTCTCAAGCCATCTAAAAGATGGCTACTAATAGATGTCTTATATTTATTCTTTTTTATTTTTAAACATCTTCGCTTCCAACAAGGCTGCAAGCAACCACTAATTAGTGTTGGAAGTTACTGGAAGAGAAAAGATGAAGATTATAGAGCAAGATAACAATTGACAGATGGCTTAAAAGATTGCAAATTATACGAATCAGGAAAGCAAGATGAAGGAAGCGAATTTGAAAGATGTTCAAGGAAAAAAACTAGACGAGTAAGAGTTTTTGGAGTACTTAGGAACAGTAACAGAAAAAGGATCAGACTTAATTGAATAACGAGTAACATGAGAATGAATTTTAGTAAATGGCACAAGAGACGCTAGCTCTTTAGTGCAGTGCCCATTACAGTATTTGTAAAAAAGAGAAAAAAGAAGTAACATTACGATGATGTGATAATGGTTGAAGGTTGGCTGCAAGAGCAGGTCCAACTATGTTTACAAACCTTTTTTGCACCTTGTCTATAAGATAAAGGGCATCATTAGAAGATCCGCCCCAGATATGGCAACAGTATTCCATACAAAGCCAGATTTGAGATTTATAAAGATAGAGAATAGAATCCAGAGTAAAAAAGTGTTGAGCTCCAAGCCTTTCCAGGAAAGACGTGCGGTTTTTTTTTCTCGTACGACCACGAAAATATTTTTCAAGCTAGAGAACGTGATCACGGCCGTTTGCGCAAGTTTTAAATTAAATGCATAAGAAATTAAAGTTAACTTAAATAGAAAACAATAATAAAAGTTTAAATAATTTGTGTGTTGTTTTTATTTTTGCTTTTCTTAGTGGTTATTATCATCGGCAACAGAATTCATTAAGTCAAAGCAAAAAAAAAAAAAAAAAAAAAAAAAAAAAAAAAACGGTTTTAGGCGTTAAAAAGGATGTCTTTTCCATATTTTGTGTTTTTTCTTTTAAAAAGTAAAGAGAAAATATGTATTGTTATCTGTTTGTAAAATATATTTGTATAATTATAATGTAACAAGTTTATATCAAGAGTTAAATTATACGATCGCATTTGCAAACTCTAGTAAAATATTAGGTCTTTAAAATTTTAGTTCATGCAAAGCTGTGTACTTTGTTTATAAGGAGCAAATTATAAAAAGTTTGCTAGCGAGAATGTTACAAAAAACAAAACAAAAACAATAAACTTACGACTACAAAAGTAACTTAGTCACTAATTGCATTATAAAAGTAATAAGACTATAATAGTGTTATTACATTTATAAAGCACTTATTACTTTTAAAGTTCATTCTTTGTTCAAACAACATTATTAATTGCAAACATTTATAAAAGTAGAAAAGCATCTAGAAAAAATAAAGCGGATATTCAAATAATATTAAAAATTTCAGGAACTTTCACATATCAATTGAACAACATTATAAAGAAGTACTTTATAAAAAGTATAGCATTATGAAAAACGTTACATAAAAACACGCTTTAATTTTAAAATCAACCAATGAAAAATTTTTATTGGTTAATTTTAAAATTAACGCGCGTTTTTATGGTCCACGTAACCTTTTTCATAATGCTAAACTTTTAATACAATACGTTTTCATAAAGTTGTTTGTCACGATTTTATAAGTTACTTTAGTTTTAATAATATAATTTGAACATCCACTTTATTCTTCTAGATATTTTTCTACTTTAATTAAAATTTGGGAATACTAATGTTGCTTGAACAAAGAATGAATTTTAAAAGTTATAAGTGCGTTATAAAAGTAATAACACTATTATAGTGTTATTACTTTTGTAATGCAGTTAGTGACTAGAGTGTTATTACTTTTGTAATCGTAAGTTTATTGTTTTATTTTTTATTTTTCGCTAACAAATTTAAGTTGATTCTCCCCTTACAAACAAGGAACACAGTTTTGTATAAACTAAAGTTTTGAATACTAGATATTTTTCCAGATTTTGCGTTTTGCATTCGCTTAATTCAACCCTTCTTATTACATTAAAATTATACAAATAAATTTTACAAACACATTGCAATTTGTATTTTTGCTATTCTCTTCAAACAAAATTAAGAAAAGAAAAATCATTCTTTTTATTGTAGACTTCAAACTATTTTTTTTTTTTGCTTCGCCTTATCTAATTTTGTTGCTGAATGTAACTCTAAAGAAACAAAAATAAAAACAGTACACAAATTATTTAAATTATTAATTTGTTTTTATTTTTTTCTATTTCAATCTCTTTTTATTTTGTTAGTTTTGTTTTTTTGTTTTTGAAACTTTTTCAGCATTATTATAAAACTTGCAAACGGCCGTGTTCACGTTTTCTAAAATATTATAATCGCGTGTGGTCATACGAGACGAAAAAGAGCTCAATAAAGAGATGCAGCTTTAGCAGATGCTAATATTGCAACGGATTTGATATATGGTTTCCAAGAAAGTTCAGAAGTAAGAGTTAATCCTAGAAGATGAAGGCTATATGATTCATCGAGTACCTTACCATTAATAAATATAGGAAGATCTAAATTATTGGGATAACAATTGGCTGAAAAAAAATTAGTTTTATCTGAATTAAAGTTCACAAGCTGCTGTGAGCCCCATGCTGTAGTAGAACTGAGATTCGATTTAAGCTCAAATGCCCCCTCTAAGCAATCGGAGGGAGTTAGCTTCTTACCATGACAAGAATAAATGATAGTTTTACAGTGAACATTGCCACCTCAGATGTGAGAATATATGGAAGATCGTTAATGTAAATTAAAAAGAGTATAGGGCCAAGGATTGAACCTTGAGGAACCCCTGAGGTTACAGAATAAGAAGAGTGCTGTCCATCAAGGACAACTTTTATACTACGATTGGAAAGGAAGGATTCAATAATCTTAAAGATGTTTCCAGATACACCGTAAGAAGAAAGCTTATGAAGAAGACCAGCATGCCAAACTTTATCAAATACTTTGGGAATGTCAAGAGCGATGGCCTTAACCTCTCCACCTTTATCAAACGCACGATAAAACCTATCGGTTATTACCATTAGCAAATCAGCCATAGAACAAGAAAATTGAAATCCATATTGATGATCAGACACTAAGTTATTAGATTCAAGATGGGAGAATAAGTGTTTGTTAATTAAAGATTCAAAAACCTTGCTTAAGATAGGAAGAAGACTAATGGGACGGTAGTTAGATGAACCAGATGGCTCTACAGAATTTTGAAAAATAGGGATCATAGATACTGCTTTCCAGCAGGCTGGGAAACAAGACTCTGATAAGCACTTGTTAAATAGTTTTGAAACGATAGACAACAGCTCCAGAGAACACTTCTGCAAGACTATAACAGGTATGTTGTCTGGGCTACAAGCTGCAAAAGAGGTGGAATTACAGACTTGCCCTTATTATTGATACTATTAATAATACTCTAGAAGTCAGGAGAGCCTAATTTTTGTGATGAAATACAAGGTTTCATGACCTGAGAATAGCAGGCTTTGGGGTTAGACAAAACCTTTTTACAATGGTTCCTAGCAGTAATAAATAGACGTTTGTTTTCTAGAGAATTGTGTTGCTGATAGATATGGAAGTAATTGTTTCAATTGGCAATTGCAGCAGCACAAAATGAGGAAAACCAAGGAAAAGAGTGAGGCTTGACCTGGAATCCTCAAGAGGGAATAAAGGATTCTATGCCAGCCTGAATCCAAGAAGTTATGTAAGAAGCACATTTGTCAACAGGAAGACAAAAGATTTCTACTCAAGGGCCATCACGAAGAAAATCACAAAATGAGTCCCAGTCAGTTTTAAGGTAGTTGTAAGATGTACCATGGTACGATGATTCTGATGATAAAAAAGAATGAGATAATAGTTTTAGAAAGATCAAACTATGATCAGAGGCAACTAAGGGTGAATGTGGAGAAACTGAGCACTGACTAGGATCAAAAACAAGACATAAGTCGAGTAGAGAAGGTAAATGATTTGGGTTGTCTAAAAAGTGAGTTGGAAAGTTGACTATTTGAGATAAGAATTGAGAAAGGCAAAAATTGTGGGCTTTAATGCCTGCAGAGTCACTGACACTAGAGCCAAGCCATTCAGTGTGATGAACATTAAAGTCACCGACAACAACAATATTGGCTGATGGATAAAGAAAGAGGGCTAGGTCAATATGATCAGAAATAACATCAAGAAGAGTGCAGTCTTGAGATGAAGGAGAGTGATATAGAACAAAGAGAAAGGTGAGTAGAGTAGTCTGTGGATTTAAACCTAGTTTCAAGACAAATGGGTGAATTCTTACGAATGTAATAGCCCAGTCCAAGAAAAGTGACTATTAGAGTATTTACGAATTAAAGGAAGATAACCATATCCAGCATTAATTTGATTATTTTTACAATCTCTAGTTCAACGTACCATTCTCTTACCCAGTGCAGCTGCCATGGTTGCACTGTGCAAAGAAAATTACATATTTGTAAACTTACTTGATAGCGTGAGCATTTTTGTATGTCAAATATGCAAATGCTAATGATATGCAAATATTAACCTGTGTTTTTGTTGTAAAACTATTTAAAAATCACAACAATACTAAACTTAATACTGTTAATACTGAGCTTAATACTGTTAAAACTTGAAACACAAATGCTGGAACTTATGCTAAAATAATGTTTATTACTCAAGTATTGTGATATATATTAGAAACTTGTGATATATATAAAAAAAAATATATATATTAGAAATAAAATTAGAAACTTACAGTTGTATACTCTATCCACTCATTGATTTTAAAATTATGGGATCCACCAAGATCGGCTGGAAGTTCGTTGAGCTCCACATAATTATACAGTTTTTCTATACTTTCCAAAATGACTATCTAAAGTTAAATTTATTTTTGAAAAATAAAATTTAAATTTTTTATAGTGTCTGAATAGGTTACTAAATGCAAGCCTAAGAAGCCCCCCCCCCCCCACAGAAAGTTGTGCTATTCAATAATTACTTTAAAGAAAAACCACTTTTGTTGGTTGTTTTTGCTTTGCAGGTTTTTCAAGATAAACACTTTAAAATAAAACAAAACATGTTATAAGTTTCAATGTTAACTACCCCAGAGGATTATTCTTGCAATCAAATTTGGTCTAGTTTTATTTCTAAAACTAGACCAAAAATAATACAATATGTAGTGAAATCATAATTAAATGCAAACCAATGAACTCATGGTATTAATTTTTTATTTATGCTAAACTACGCCATTAGTAAAGTTATGCAAACAAAAGAGGATTAACAAGCTTCATTTGCTCATTACAATTGTTTATTAGAAAATCATAACTATATAATAAAAATAATCAAAATAAAATAAAAAAATAAAAAAATTTTGAACTTTTTGTTTTGGTAATGGAACACAGTTTCGATTAAAATTAAATTTATTTAATTAATCGATGATTAAAAAAGTTTGATTAAAATTAATCATTGGGTTTTATAACCCAATGATTAATTAACCCTAAATGCAAAATAAGACGTGGTAGGCATTTAACAAATGAAGAATTAGCTGTAATCAAAACATACTAAGACACAGACAGTTATTTATTTTTACTTTAAATTGTGGTTAATAACTACTTCAAGATTAATTCTTAAATAAAATAAAATTGATAGTCGTACTAAATGAGCTATTATACGTCGTGCAGCTGCTCAATACATGACTGGATTTTGAATTCGTGCTGATTGCCTGTAACTGTTCAACAGGTGAAACAAATCTTTTATGAAAATCCAAACGCTTTTTTAGAAAAAGTGTAAATCAAAATCAAAATTTACTGTTAGTCATAACAAAGCTAAACTATAATTTGTAAAAGAACACATGTCTTGGCGGGAGAGTGGCATCAAGTTCACTTTAGTGATGAGAAAAAGCTCAATCTAAATGGTCCTAATGTTTATCAATATTACTGACACAAATCTTCTAAAAAAGAAAGAAACTTGGATGAGTTATAACTTTGGTGGTGGAACTGTTATGGTTTGGGGGCTTTTTCCTTTGCTGGAAAACATCCACTAACATGGGTTTCAACAAATATGAATTTAAAGGATTACACTGACTTACTAGAAATTAGTTAAATTTTTTTTAAAAATTTCTTTTGCTTTTTTATGGAAAAAAGGGAATGAAAAAGTTCAAAAATAAATATATTATAAATATATATATTTAAATTTGTATTTAGAGAAAATTTTTTGGAAACCCGAAATTCAAATGCTTTTTTAGTTTTTCTGGATATATAGGGAAAAAGATAATCCCTGCAAGTAGAATTAAAAAAAAATTATTTGCTTAAAAAACTAAAAAAAAAGGTTAAAAAAAAAAACTCACTGGGTGCTTTGTAAATTCTTGAAGTTGCTTTGTGTCTTTAACACTGAAATGACGCTGAACAAATCCTTGAGGTTTTATTAATAATATGTAGTGAATATAGCATGCTTCAAAGTCCTAAAAATTTCAATATTTTTTACTTAAAATTGCTAATTTATTTCTAAAACAAAGTGTTATATTTTACAAAGTATTTTTAACATAGATTGCATTTTTAATCATTTAAGAAAACAATCAACAGATGTAAAGAAATTATTTGAAACTTTTAAGAATACATATAAATCATTTAACAAAATTTATACATATATGTTAAAAACTATACATATGTAATATATACATAAAAACTTTGATACCCCACATACAGAATACCTACAAATTTTGTTTAGTCTTTATTCCTAACCCGAATACCCGACCCGATGTCTTATTTTGAATTATATTTTTGAAACTCTTATATTTGTTTTGAATAGCTTCTTCTTTCTGAGGTTATGACAAGCATGTTGAGCATGTTTGATAAACAGACTTTGTCTGGATATTTCAAACAAATAATAAAATTTTAACTTTATAATTTAAATAACTATAACATTAAACAAACTAAAAGAACCAAAGCTTTATTTAAAGTTTTCTCATAAAAGTTAAATCCTTTTTTATAATAAATATAATAAAAGTTGAATTGCTTTTTTATATCAGAGACAACAGTTAAAAAGAAATAAAATCAACTAAATTAAAGCTTAAAAACAAAAAATGAAGTTTTCTCAAACAACAAAAAATGTGTAAAATGTTTTTAAATAAATTTAATTAAATTTTTAAAAGTGTCAACATGAATTAAAGTTATTATTTTAAAAAATTGCTTGTTACAAATTTTCTTTTTCTTATTCATTAGGAATACTGTAAACATGACTAAAAGTTAATACAATCATAAATAATCTTAATTCATTATAAGTTTGTTATTAATGAAAAAAAATAAAACTTTAACTTAAAATGTAAGAATGTGAATGAGGGGTTGCTTAATGAAGGGGATGCTTAATGAAGGGAATGCTTAATAAAGGGGATGCTTAACGAGGAGATGTTTAATGAAGGATTAACGTGCTTAAACATTGCTATTTTTGTAACTTATTTTACTTGAACAAAAAATTTGTAAAGTAATCAGTCTTCAACAAAATTTCTTTAAAAATACCTTTATTTATATTGTTTCACTCTAAAGTTTTATGTTCAGTTTTATTATTTAAAACCTTAATAGCAACTTAATGAACTAATAATAACCTAAATAAACAACATCTAAAAGTCATCTACTTGCACAGCAATAACTAAACATTATTCACATTAAATCTATCCACCAAGTCAAAGCATACCATCACAAAGATATTTTGCCATTTTGGGCTTATCACCATGATAATGGCCTATTGAAAATGTGTGCACCAACAGTTTAACAAAATTTGCAGTGCAATGGTACTTGTGGTGCTACAATACTAACAAAACCATATAAATATTTATATACTATTGGTCATATTAACAGTTCTATAAAAAACATTGCTAACTCTTGTTAGAATTATAGCATCACAATTATAATTGTTCTTTTATCAACAAAGAAAGTCTTTTGATACATAAACTACTGTATAATCATGCTACTAAAGGATATATGCCTAAAGGATAAAATGTGTCTGTAATTGCAATAAATATGCAAAGACTAAAAAATGAAATTATGAAATTTAATTTACCTCAAGTAACTTCATTAACACCTTCACATTTGCCCATTTATCATTTTGACTGTCGACGATAATAACAAACTTCTGGTTTTCCCATAAGACACTTAAAAAAATATATACTATTTAAAATATATTTATATAAATATAGCTTATTATAAATTATGTTAATAATAACTCCAGAGTATTTTCATTATTTCATTTATAAAATTATTTGCTTTTATTTATAAAGCTATTTGCTTACCAGGCAGTTTTTTCTAAATATATTACAGCTTTCTTAAATGTATCCTCTGAAACTGATCCTAATATAGGAGATGTTGTGCAAAGAATCAATGGGTGCCCTTCTTTATCTTTACCTCCTAAATATACCCTTCATAATCAATAATGTTGCTACTATTTGAAAGTTTATAATATCTGTATTTAAAAGATGTTTATATATTTGTATTTACCTGATATATACATGACTTTTTGCTGCAAAACATTAGCAATTTCTAATATTTTTATTTCACACATCATGCCTAATAATATATTAAAAAAAATTTTAATCTTAAAATTAAAAAACAAAACAAAAATAACAACTATTTTTTCATTTTTATGTTAATGATAAGAAATTTTTTTATTAAAACCTAATGTCTTTTTAATAAAATAAATGCCATTGTTAAGAAATTTATGTTTTTCCTGTAAAACGTATTTAATTGATTCATAAAAAACTTAATCACTTTTTAATTATCATCATTTATATTGTAATTTACAAACATTAATTTTAATTCATCAGTTAAAAATTATATTTACCAGAAATATTTTACTTTTTTTTAATTTTTAGAAAACTTGCATACTTTTTAAACAATTTAAAGGTTTAATGCAAATCTTAATTAAACTTAATAATTATATTGTCTAAATATTACAATTTGTTTAAAAAAATTTATTTATTACTTTTTCTTTCTAAGAAGATTATTTTATTTTCCAGATGAAATTTATCATCATCATCATCATCATCATCATCATCATCATCATCATCATCATCATCATCATTATCATCATCATCATCATCATCATGATCATCCTCATCCTCATCATCATCATCATCATCATCATCATCATCATCATCATCATCATCATCATCATCATCATCATCATCATCATCATCATCATCATCATCATCATCAGTCATTATCATCATCATCATCATCATCATCATCATCATCATCATCATCATCATTATCATCATCATCATTATCATCATCATCAAATAAATTTAAAGTTTTTATACCTAAATCAGATACAAGTCCATCTACAGTATCAAAAGGCAATTCTTTGGCTGAAGTGGGATCACAGTTAGCCATATTTGTTAATTCTTCAATAACTTCATTTGTATTAATAACAGTGCATGATTCAACTGGGATGTTATCCATCATTTTTTAAATTAGTTTATAACAGAGTATATTTTTTACTTCATAAAATCAAAAAATTGCTATGCAGGTAACCTACCAAAGTCATTTTGAGTATATTGCTAGTAAAACACAGCTTTCTAGAACAAAATTTATAAAGTTAGAAATTTAGGTTATAAAACTATAGGCATTATTTTAAGTAGAATACATAATTTTAATAAGAAATTATAAATGATTTTTTTTTTTTAATTATGAAAATTTTATATAAATTAAATAAATATTTTTAACTATAATAGTCAATCAATCATCAGTTGATAATTAACTTATGAATCAGCTATACTTGATTTGAAAATTATAAACTATTTATTAATTTATCAAACCTCTTAAAGAACTAAATATTTAACAAAACAATATTTAAAAAAATAGACATAAAATAATTTAAAAATAAAGTTAGTAAAATTTAAAGAAACGTGATAAAATGTTCAGGATAAACGTATTAGTTGAATGCAAACAGACATTTAGCAAACATATCACTAAACTTTAAATGTTTAACAAAACAGACCATTTAAAGTACAGAATGCTTTACGCAAAATATGCTAAAAAAACATTATTAAAATTAAAACATTACTTTATTTATCTAAAGTATTTAGACAATATTTTATTTATTTAAATATTACTTTGTAATTACATATAAATAATATAATATAAATAACATATAATAATAACATATAGATTTATCAGTAAAACTATTTGTTTATAAAAGTCGTTTTTGTTTACTTAGGCACTACGTACGTTTGTAATTTTAAGACAAAATTTGATTCGGGATAATACGCAAAAACAAATGTTTTATAGACGGAGACGTTTTGTCTGCTCAAACGGACTAATAAACTATTCTACAAACTTTACGAAGCAATTCGATATTGATATATAATAAAAATCGTGACGTTAACTAAAAATTAAATAAATAAAATTATTATCAACTAAAGGTTATCCTTAGTTGCTGTTTGTTTGTGTGACAGTTCTCGATAGTGGTAGCTTTTGTCTTGAATATATTTATTCAGGATGTAATTGATTTTTGTGGTGATATATTAATTTCACTTGCTTCTGTAGTGTCATAATTATTTGGGTTACTTTTAAAGAATTTGTTTGTAAAATGTAATAATAGAAGTTAAAGTTTATATTTAAGTTTAAATAATAAGTTGGGGGGGGGGGGGGGGGGGAAGATTAATAATTTGTCAGACATTTAAGACATAGATACTAAAATATTTTAGTAGTGGTTTAGCCAGCGTGAATTTAACTTTAAAGCTAATCTGGACGCACATTTTTGGTGTTGATAAAAAGAAACTAGTTTCGACTAGTGTACCCATTCAATATGACGAGTGTACCCATGCAATATTAGCGTATTTAATACAACGAACAAGAAGAAATAATGTTTTAAATTTTGATATTGTATAGATCTAGCCTTGTAAAGTATGCCAGTTGGGTATTGCATTACCAAATTGCCTATCAGTTTACCAATTTTACCTGTCAATATTTAGTTAAATTACTGGTAGATTATAAAAAATTGTTTTTTGTTTTTATAATTAAATTTTCTTCGCTGCAACTAAAGTATATGAGTTACAAAATACTTATTCAACTGATTTTCTTAGAAAAAATATAGATCTTTTACGGATCAAGTAAAAAAAAAAAAAAAAAAAAAAACGTAATTACGATAAAAATAAGCGTGTCTTTTAAAGTTTGAATTCGTTTTAAATCTGCTGTTATATTTAAAATATTACTGCAGTTTGCTGCCCCCCCGCGTTCTCTAAGCTTGTTAAATTCTGCATTTATTTTAAAATTCTGTATTTATTTTAAACGGAAATAGAAAAACTTTGCAACAACAAATTATCGTTTACATACTTAACAAAATTGTCCGCATTTATGGCAGAAAACAAAATGAAGATGTTTTCTTTACGTTTTTAAATGGAGACGTTTTTAACATAGTTCGATGAATCAAAACTACAGTGACTGTACAGTGACAAATGTTCGTAAAACTACAATGACTTTGCAAACGGTATATGTCTTTTCTTTTTTTTTTTAAATAGATAAACAAAAAAATATAAGTTAACTAAGTTCAACAGTATGCGGCAATTTGAATTTACTTTTCGAAATGATTTCGAAAAGTAAATCCAAATTGCCTCCCCATTTGACACCTACTCGCGCCGCCACTAATTCAAAGATTATCAAGAAATATATATGCAATTTTTAATTTTTTAAGTTTAACGTAAAAGCTTTTTTGATTTCAAGTTTTTATTTAGAGGGTGCTCGGTCAAGAATGAAGAACGAGTTTGTACTTTTAGAATTTTAAAATTTAGGAGAGGATGAGATATGTTTGTTTGAGTTGAGAAGTTTAAAAGTTATTGTTGTATAGTAAAATGGTGGTTTCTCCAATAAATCTTGCATTACAGCTAAGAAACTCAAGTTTATATTCAAGAAAAAGATTTCAGGTTATTCAATAAGCCCATGCTACCTTTGACTTATATCTTTTTAAAATTATATTTTGAAATTTATCTTACTTTTAACTTTATTTTACTGACGTTGATACAAACTTGCCAATATCGAATGAGTTCGATAAATGGAAGTTTGAAGTAATAAATATCGAGAGGTTTTGAAGTGTCTATGTTTTGCTCAGGAGAGATAAAAAATGTTTTTTTCCAAGTTAGAAGAAAAAAAGTTCAAATTCTTATTTATTTTTTTAACATCAGTGACAAACCCATGAATTTTTGGTTGGGGTTTTGATGTTAAAATATTTTTATAATTTGTATCACCAAAAAAAAAAAAGTCTTATTTCTAAGATTTTTTGGGACTTTCAGATTCTGGTGGTGGGAGGGGGGGGGGGATGCATACCTCCCATACCCCCTAGATCCGTCAGTGATGAAGATAAACCCAAGTCAAAATGCTGTTAACTCTGAACACTTTGTCAAAAAGAGTTTTAATGAACCCTAATTTATAATTAACACTGGTGACGCTATAAAAATTAGGTAATAATAAACCGGTGTAGATTTTTTTTTATACAAGGACGATAATTCAAATATTTGATTTTAGAAACTAATGAAAACATCCAAGAATTTCAATTTGTGATTTATTTTTTCTTGTTAAGTAAACTAAACATGTTGTGTGTTAATGTAGAAAGTTTTGTGCATTTAATTATTCTTAAAAATTATAAAAGATATCGCTAACATATCTTCAGTCTTCTATTTTTTTATTTTTATTTTTATTTATTTTTTGATATTTAGGTGCCCCAAGAAGACCTAACGGTCTTGTCACAGAGCAACCCGGAAGTGTATTTAACCAGGAAGTTTACGCCTCCTTACTTACCGTGACGCGAAATATGTCCAAAGCTCGTTTCGAACCCGGATCTCCTGCTTATAAAGCAAGCGCTCTGACCACTGCGCCACGCCGCACAAAAGGCCGTGGCGCAGTGGTTAGACTGCCTGTAGACTGTTAGTAGTGTTACTACTTTTAAAAACTAAATTTTTTAATTATCATTTTAAAGCTATATGTTTTCACGATGGCTTAAAAAAAAAATAGGCTTAAGTAAGAGCTAGAAGAGACCCCATTGTGAGCCCATCAGTTCGATCAAAAATTTCTTTATTAAATAAAAGTGTTTGTTTAAACAAACTGAATTTAAAACTGAATTTAAAAAAATAAACTGAATTCAAAAAAACACCCCACTAAATTTAATAGGGTGTTTTTTTAAATTCAGTTCTAGAAACTTTATTATTGGAAATATAATTTACAATAAGATTAAGATTGTTTCTAGAGTTCTATAATTTCAAAAATCAGTAAAATCGTTTTACTAAAAAACTTACTAGAATATAATTTTGACTATATGTGCTTAAATTTAAACAAACCATTTGAAATCAATAATTATTAAATTAATTTTATTTTTTTTGCTATCTTTGTAAATAATATTTTTCTGCAAAAAGAAGGTAAGAAATTCTGTATAACAGAGTATTATTTTTCTAGTCTTTGTCACTTCGTCACTAATCTTCTCCACTTCATCACTAAATGCAGAACAAAAACTGATCGGTGGCATGTTTCAAAATCGTTCCTGAAAAATGTTCTTTTTATAATTAAAATAATTCGGCACAGGTTTATTGCAAAAAAATTTTGCAAAAAGTTTTATTGCAAAAAAAAACGGCACAGGTTTATTGCAAAAAAATTTGCAAAAATTTTGCAAAAAGTGTATATAGTATATAGTTAATTACTTAATTAGTTAATTACTTTAAAAATTATTATGAAAAATACTTTTTTTTCCATTTTTCATTTTTTATTTTTTTATTTTTCTTCTTTTTTTTTTGTCAAAAATAAACTCTATTGCACCACATACCAGTATGCGCATGGCTAAATTTGAATTAAAAATAGCTATGTAAGAAATAGTTACATAACGTAAGTTTTCAGCTCATAGAAATAGTTATTAGGTTTTTCTACCTAGAAATTTTTCTTTTTTCCCCTCTTTTTCGGACACTGTAAATCTATTAAGGTAAATACAAGAATGTTCCACGATGTCAAGTGGTTTAGGGTAATTGCTTTTAAATCTGTAACTATCGTGTTTAGATTTAGGGTGGTAGAGCACAATTAAAATACTAATTTCTGATCAAAATATAAAAATATATTTTTTAAATTTATCTTATTCAAAATTTTACTCTTTTGCTTGATGTATGTATGAAACAGAATTTATTTTTGGAAATGTGATAAAAATCTATATTTGCAATATTATTTACCTTAGCAATGCCGTAGCAATCACGAACATACCTTCGTTTACAATATATTGAGCAAAACTTGCAAGCTAATTTGTGTTTTTGTTGTATCTTTTTGTTGAAGCACGATTCAAAGATTCGTGTTATTACCGTTGTATAGACCCTTTTGTTGTTAGTATTGGATTAAAGATTTATTATTAATTAGTAATAAGTTATAAGATCTATCATAAATAACAATTAATAAAATAAACTTAAAAAAACAAATAAACAAAATAAGATTGCTGTTTTTGAAAATATTTTTCTTTT